GATGCAGTTCCAAAAGGTGTGCATACTTGTGAGACAGTCAGTGTAATTGATCAGCGTGTAGCCCACCTATCATCAGATGATAGTGCTAAACCCGAACTAGTAGTGAAAGACAGCAGTGGTGGTAATCTTGCAGTTGGACAACTATCTGAGTGCCGAACAAGAACAGCTTCTGATCCACCACTAAGTTCATCACCTTGTGTCACTCAGTCATCGTTGGTGCTGTCATCCACAATGAAACAGACACCCATCAACTCAAGTATCTTGTGCAATGACTATGGTAGTATCAGTTCGTTTGAAAGGACGAATATCAATGGTCAGTTTAGTGAGGATAAGCCAAGTGTAAAGGAGAGAGTTATTGTTAAATTGACTTGCATGAATAAAGGCATTTCTAGTTTCAAGTTACTATTTGAATGTTATTATCTTTGGTGTAAATTACTCTGTTTCTATACTTGGTTGATGAGATATGTCGTGTGTTTGTTGGTCATCTATGTTCTACGATACAATGACATGGGCGTGTTGCCGTTCAGATTTGAGGATATAGCTGATAGAAAGAAGTTAGCAAATGAACTCTGCGACGATTTTCCAACCTAGGGCGTCAACCTGAGAAGGGTTGTAGGCGTACTGGTGTAAGTCCTACAGTTCTTCAAAGGGTAGCGCATCAATGCGCAGTCCAATGTGCTTGGTGTATGATCTTGTACATATGTTCATATTGCATATACTGAATTGATATCATCTGTCATCTAGCTTTTGGTAATTCTGTTTGTGTCCGGACGACTTCCACTTGGATCATCAACCTGAGAAGGAATGTAGGCGTACTGCTGTAAGTCCTACGGTTCTTCAAGGGTAGTTTGTCGTGTCAGAATCCACAACATTTGATGTGTTGATTGTACATATGTTTGTGTTAAATACTTGTGTGAGTTCCAATTGATGTAATTGTTGGTTAATCTTGTGTGTGTCTGGACATTCCACATTTTGCAATCGTCAACCTGTGAAGGGTTGCAGGCGTACTGGTGTAAGTCCTCCAATTCTTCAAAATAATTCCACCAAGACATGATCCGCGAGGTTATTTGTACTGTTTGTATATACGTGTGGTGTGTCCTATGAATTGGTGTTTTTTGGATTCATTGTGTTTACTCGTTGTTTTCGTACCTTGTTGTTATTGCATAATTTTGTTAAAATTTTCGTCGTGATTACTTCTGAAGTTGTTTCTTGTCTTCTACATCCGTGAATGAATTGATTGATGTTAGAGACAGCTGAGGGGTCGTATACGCCGGGGAGGCTATTCCTGAGAATGAAATGCACACGGAGATAATTGTTAGCTGCGGTCCGACACGCCGGGGAGAAAGAGTGTAAACGACTGAGGCTCGCATGCGTCACCGCTACTAGAACTGAGGCAGAATGAGTGACAAGCGATTTCAATGATAATTGGTAGTGAGTAATCAAGAGGATGTGCGTAGAGTATCGTGAGGTCCTGCCATGGTCACTTTGCATTCTGCAAGAGTTATTCTAGCAAATGGCGATTGTGTTGCAAGATATCAAGAGGAGGTCTCTGTCTGGACGCGCAGGTCGTCATTTATGTGTGAGATTGTGCTGTGGGTATGCTTGTGGTGTGTTGGCTCTTCTGTTTGTTTTCCATTTCAGCTCTGTCCGTGTGACCCAGGTTCTCGCAATGGCATCCAAGTCGACGTGTATTGGTCGTGAAGGAAAAAAGGGATGGATCAGTATTTTGCCGGGGAGTGTCAATGGAGTTCAAGATTGAACGATCAATTCACGGTTGTTTGCTCAAAACCAACTTCCCCAATTTTTGCGGAGGCATCAATACGACAGACATAGTCTCATCGGTCGCTGTTCAGAAAGAAGTCAGACCAAAACTGTCAGAAGTAATATTGTGATTTATTATTGTAATATTTGTTCACAGACCTTAGTGATAACATTTTGTATATGTTGGTGTTACAATAAAGAATTCTCGAATGGCCAATCGGTGTTTTGGTTCCAAGGCAAAATATACAGACAAACAGAAGGTGTAGCAATGGAATGGATCATCAATATCCCCCTGTGTAGCAGATATCCCTATAGACAGTTGGGAAAATAGTGCACTCAATACATTTAACCCTACTCCGAAAATATGGTGGAGATATGTGGATGACACTTTCACAGTGTTAAAAACAGAACACATCTCTAGCTTCTTGACACACATAAACTCACAAGTTGAGGGAATAAAATTCACATTTGAATCAGAAAATGAACAAGGAGAATTAGCTATGTTAGATTGTAAGATAAAAAGAATAGAAGAAGGCAAACTACACACTAGTGTTTATAGAAAACCAACGCATTCTAATAGATATTTAGACTTTAATTCGTCTCATCCTTTAACTGTTAAGGCAGGCTTAGTTAAATGTTTAACAAACCGAGCAGTGGCACTAAGTAGCACAAAAAACGATCTAAATGATGAATTAAAACAGATAGAAGAAGCGTTGGTGTTGAATAACTATCCTATAAAATTCATTAGGAAGATCACTAAAGGCCAAAAACAAAATAAAAATAATTGTGAAACTAGTAATAATAACATAAATAAGAAAGAATATAAGTCATCCACAGTTATACCATATAAAGAGGGGACATCTGAGACACTACGTAGGATTCTGAATAAAATAGGAATTAGGGTGGCATTTAAACCTACAAACTCACTCAGGGACAAGCTCTGTAGGTTAAAGGACCCAGTTGACCCAATTAGACAAAATAATATTATTTACAAAATACCATGCAATGACTGTGAGGTCAACTACATAGGTCAAACTAGTAGGTCAGGGGTAGTCAGATTGTCAGAGCATAAAAATTTAGCTAAGGTAAGAATGGTTGACCCCGAGAAGATAAATAATTTAGAAAAAAGCTCAGCAATTGCAATGCATGCGCTAACACACAACCACACAATAGGGTGGGAGAGGGTTAAAATTCTAAAAAGTAATCTAGGTAGGTGGAGAGAGAGGTTGATTACTGAATCCTTGTTCATCGAGTCTACACCCAATACATGCAATAGGAATGACTCGTCACTCATACCTGAAATATGGAAAATACTATTACCAATCAAATCAAGTGAAAATCAAGAGAAAAACAATGGAACTATATAAATGAATTTAGGAAGTCGTGTGATTACCTTGATATGATTATGAGCAATAAATTGTGCTCGAAACGTCATCAGTAAACATTACTGTATAACACTGTGAGACTTTATCAAAACAAAATTTACCCATAATGGAATTCACCATGGTAACTTAAACCTGTGTCATCCACTACAGAAGACAGTAACTGTGCTACTGCTGATTCCCTGTACAGCTCATAGATATGCATGGGTCGATTTACCAGGCGGTAACAGTTGTGAATGTTCAATTTCGTGTGTGTTAATTAGAAGCTGATTGGTTGATTCATCAACGTAGAACTTTGCATAAAAGGGCAGAAATTCAAGTTGTCATGACTCAAAGAAACAAACATCAGATTAAACTAAGCAAATGTAATAAAAATAAAGTGAGCGAAGATTTGTATGAGACAGAATAATTCGATGAAGAGTAGTGATGATTCTTTTGACTGGTAACAAGGTGATAATTCATTGCACCATTGCGAGTGAGATTACCGTGTCAAGTTAGCCATGCGATCACTACGCTTGGTTAAATGACACAATAGCGCCTTTTTACTTTAATGTTGGGTGCGTGCTACTGTATAAAGCAGTGTCGTGGGACGACATTGCATACCTTGAGGATAGATTTCGACCAACATACACTAGTTTCCATCCGGTAACTGACCATTTACAGTTATGATATCGATAACAGGCGAAAAAATCAATGTACAACCCTGCACCGAAATGCGTTGTTTCAAATTTCCTTAAATGAATCAGCATACACTACGAAAAGGATAGACATAAGTGTGAAAAAATTCAGCTGAAACTATACAGATTTTTGAGCGTCATTAAAAGTACTGATATATTCACCTGTCTGAATGAAGTAGTATCATGTCACCAACTGCCTACAGTCGTTAGTTCCCTATCATCTCTTTGAACTATAAACGGAAAACATTGCTTATTAATATCAATAGCCTTTCTTCTTTAAACTTCGCAGTCAGGATAAGACATAGTAATCTGTGGCGTGGGATGCCTTCATCTAAATGTTAGTGAGTAAAGTCAGTCAAAGACCAACATTTATTATCTACTCAGTGGGTTCCCTGTGAGAAAAATAGCTTGTTTAGTGCTGTAAACCTTAGAGACTACAAATCTCAGTGTTTACCCGTTACTTACCATTTAACTTAGTCTGTCAACAATAACGTGTTTACTGTAAAGTGTGGAATTTTCGCAGTTCCATTATGAGTGATTTTGAGATTCATGCTGTGTGCCAAAATAAGTTACTGTCGGTCCTCACAATTCGCAATCTTTAAGCTCTTAATTGAGTGAAATCCAACGATTGTTGTGTTTTGGCTAATTTGTGTATGATTAGCCATGTGTTGTTCATAGATGTGATTAAGCGAGCACTTTAAGTAACTTCCGGTTTATTTTCTTAGAACTTGAAGCAGTCAAGTAGACTTAAAACTTAGAAATAATCAGCAATAGAAAGCAGATTCGTAGGGAGAATGATGTGGCGCTACAAATGAAACAAAGGTGTGGTATCAATCTATTACCGCTATCGAGTTTTATTTTTTGAACTATACCACTTGCCGTATCCACTCGTGTATTTCTGTAGTCATATCCATCTTGACATTGATAAGGAAAGAAACTGTACTTACGGCAGATGAAAATGAAGTTCAAAAATTGATGAATTTTTCAAACGATCTAGGAGAGAATGATTTCCTCTCACTTCTAAAGAAACTAAGTTAAAGTTATGCAAATTATTTCAGTGATCAACGCTTGGTCTGATGTGGAGTGAGCTTCAATAATTTCCACGATATTATCTTCCTCCAGTTATTCACCTCCGATGTTTTTTTCTCATCTGTTTTCAGTACACATTGTGTGAGACATAATGTCCTATGTAACTGAAGACAGTCCCCCTGAACACTTACAAGTTGGCAATGGTGACCCTAATCTGATGTTACCCACTGAAGATCAGTATGACGTAAGTCTGGCCGCAGCAGAATATTATCAGACAGGAGGCTATTGGCATATTGGTACACAAATGATGGATTGTTTATTCCCAACTGATCGTATTGCTGATGTGGCTTTCGATCCATTGGAAGAATTAATATGGTGTGTCACACAAACAGTAAGTTTATTATCTTTATGTATACCTTCGGCTTAATTTGATTCCTCTTATCGTTTGAAAGATCCTTCCAATTCTATAAATGAGTCATAAAATCTAATTTCAAGGTGACCAACTAATGCAGTATACTGTAATAATACCTAAGCACTAACCACTTTTCACATCGTAAACAGAATTCAGTGACACGTGTATACTTTCTGTTTTGACCACAACTTTCACTACTGAGACTGCCAATTTTCAAAATGTGCATACGTTTTTACATAAACGTAACATTTTTTTTTATGAATATCACTCTCGCCACAGCAGGAAACAAACACACAAACATAAAAAGGTTTTTGTGTCAGTCCAAACACTTCAAGGACTCCATGAAATATTATACAACAGTAGGAGATTTATCATACTAACAGTTAACAAGCCTCTCATTTCTGTGTTGGAGTCAAAGACAGGTATCATAGTTCACTCGGTAAACAGACTTTAACCATTGGCGATTCTAATACTGGGGTTAGACTTCAACATAAGATATCGCCGGACAGAAGATTTTGGCCACACAGATGCTCTCTCGCACCTAATAAGTGATTACCCGTCGTCGAATAAGTAAATAGTTATTGCAACCATAAAGACTGAAAGCTAAGTTCAGAAATTAGGACGCTCTATAATTGAGAAGACCTGCCAAATTGCAGTCAGGTCATGCAGTGGAAAATCCCCCTAGTAGCAATCGCCATTACAATCATGCTACCGACAGCACATGGATTTCGCTAGGCGTGTGGATGGTGTGCATCACGTAGCTGTGATGGGCGCTTCTTTAAGGTGTTATTCGTCCAGATACGAAAACGTAGCGGGCCCTGCTGAACTCCCCGTGTCGTTGTTGTGGTTATTGACGGAGTAGGTTTTATATAGTGCGTTATATTCATGTCCGTCGCAGTCTCCTAGGACACAGGTATCATCTCGAAACAATACTGAGTATCTGCGAATTAACGTTTAATGAGTTAGGAAATGAGAAGAATAAAATGTATTTGTGAAATTGCTCACTTATTGAATTTTAAATGAACGGAACTCAGTTTTTATTTTCCCATTATATGTGTGTCTTATAAACTTTCGGCTTCGCTTATGATGTGGCTTTCAATTTTTATCGTTGAATTAGAAGTAGATAAAGCATTAAAAAATATTTCCCAAACAAATGAAAGATCCATAATAAAGTCATCAAAATATAATCACCATTGTTCCTTAATTGAAGAAAGTTTGTAATCAGTTTTATTTGATAAATTTTGGTTTCAAATATACAGGGGCAACTAAGTGCTTTTTATTCAACCACTTTGGAACGTTATATCAGTCTCACTGTCCCTTTAATTTCTGATGTAAACTCTTTTGAAAATGCAACACCTTACAATGAATTAAAACTAGTCTTTCCATCTCCGCGTCCTATCGAGCATTCTGTCTTTGTTTTGGCTAACAATGGACTATATGCTTTCGAGAAAACGGGAAGACCACTAGCGTCAGCTGTGTAAGTTTTGTGAATTATGGCAGATACAGTAACATTACATTTACTATATTTGCCAACTCTGTTTTACATTCCTTGTCATAGAAGTACAAGGATGATTATGTATATTTTTTGTTAAATATTCTATCATAATTTCACTATGACGATTGGTTTGATTTAGTCCTAATTGCTTTTCAAAAGTAAAAGTATTCATAGTTCTTAATGTGAATCGGCTCTGGAAACACTCTGTTCATTCTCTCCCAGTTAAGGTTTCTAATGAAGAAATTCTGCTCTTATTAAGTCAATTGTTCAAATCTGCTGATTCGCTTCTACATTTCCACCGCTAAGAGATGAGTTAATTTGGTCAAATTGAAAACATTAGAGAATTCCCAATAATCATAACATAAAGGTGTTTTCATTCAACGAATATGTGGATACACTAGTGGAAAGCCGGCAGAATTGTTGTAAGAATAGCACTTGTGCACTGTAGTAGAGTATAATTCCACAGTGATACATTATTTTCTGTTGACGTTTCAAGCACAATTTATTGTTCATAATCATATCAAATCACTGACATAATTTTTGTTTATATAATCCCACTATTTTTGTTTATGAAATAAAATGTAGTATGTAGGGGAACTTCCAGGTAGGTGATTGTGTGCGTCGGTAGCACAGTGGTTAGGACTCTCGCTGACCATGCACATGGTCCGAGGTTCGATCCCCTGCCGACGCACACCTGATATCTATGATCGGCCTGCAAAACTTGGGCTACTGATATCATATGCTGGAAATTCCATACTTGTATCAAAAAATACTGTGTGGTTTCAAGCTATAATCAAAAACGATTTTTGTTTATGAAATAAAATGTAGTATTTAGAGGAACTTCCAGGCAGGTGATTGTAGGAGTAAAAGAACATGAACACTGCTTTAATATAGTCCCTACAACCTAATCAATTTTGAAGAATTTAGAAAACAAATTAGTGGTTACCCTACACTCAGTGGACACGCAACACGATATATATTCTTATGTGAATGATGCGATTCAAAGGATAGGGTTCTTCGTAAAGATGGATGAACTTCAGAAGCTCTAGGTATATCGGTAAATCTACAACGTTTTAATAGATTAAATGGAGTGATACTGTCCAATGCAGGGTAAATTCTGATTACCTTTATTATATATCAGCAACGTATGCTATTATTTCACTTAATTTCCAAATGCAGGTATTTGATACACACTTTTTGATCAGAGTACTTCACGTACACATTTTATAAATTACAGATATCCTCACTACAACCTGCATGTTACAGTTATGCTTATTCGAACACATTCAAGGATGAGATGCAAGAACACACACGCACACGCACTGTTTTTATTGAGCGACAAAATTATTCATAACTTAACTGTGATTCGACAAGCCATTTTAATATATTGTCACCTTTGATATTTTTAGTTATTATCGTTTTCCTGAAGGATTTCGGATCAATTTACCGAATGAGTCGTTATTTCAACAAGTATGACATTCACTTGGTAATCAGTGTTTGCGAAACACTGCATACTGTTGTTGTGCAGTCTGTTAGGTTTGGTTCTTCCTGTTGCCGGAGTAACTATCATGCAAGAGAGATAAAGGAATAGGTTTTTTCCCTAAACGCATACTGAAAGTGTATTTGACTTCATTCAAAGAAAACTGTCTATTCGTAGACTATCATACAATATACGTATTTGTTGGTTAATCACTTTGCGATTTCACTAGACAAGAAGTCATAAAGGTTGTAGAATGATTCTTTTGTGACTGGCAACTATATCATTATCCCTTCATTGTCCCCTAATGGAGTGATTGAATTTGGAAGAGCCACATCCCATGTGTTCATCCGAATCAAATGTGCATGGAAAAGCAATAAAAATGTGTTGCACTGTAGCGCTTCCGTATTGTTTTATTTTAAGTAGATTTTGATATGTCCCTGTAACAACTCTTCATTGTGCACTTTATAACAGGGATAAATTAATGCTGGAACTCGAATGCTTGGCTGTGACAGGTCCGACAGGTTCTTTACCAGGATCAAGCATCAGAGCAGGTGGTGTTGCTAGTTTCGCAAGATTTTTCTTGGGTGGTCTTCAGCCAACTCTTCTGGAAGTAGATGCTACTGAACGTTGGGGTGAAATAATCAGTACAGTAGATGTTGGAATCGGAGGTTCTGTAGTTCTTAGACCGTTCAGTGGTGGACTCTGTGCAGCGAATACAAATGGGAAAGTAAGATTATTTATAATCTTTCCTATGCCAGTTTTGATGGTTATTTGAGATATTTCATGTGCACATTTTTGGCTATCGGTGTCTACGGTAAGTTTTTCCTGTATAGTCATATATAGACATAAGGTGATATGTAAAGGAGGGAAGTAAGTCGACGAACATATAATGTATCAAAAATAATATTTGAAAGGAAATAATACGTGAATATATCTAGGCAGTTGCATACGATTCCATACTAATCTGTATTGAATACTTCAAATATCAGATTCCTTTTGATTTATGGATTTCACCTGCAGATCCTATATTTTCTCATTTAGTTCAGAAACACGGTTTTCTTTAAAACTATGCACTTGCAGTAAGCATTTCATCCCTATCAATCTCATGACATTTTGTAACCACTGATTGAATGAATGCTTGATAAAACAACTTGTTGCACTTCTGGAAAGCTTGTATCACAGACTCATAGCCTAAAGATAGAGAGTGAAGCGGTAAATTGTGCTGACCACTTCACTTACTTGGGAAGTTGGATTAGCCCCGACGGACTGATTGCTGGCGAATTCTCAACACGGATACGGAAGGCTTGTGTAGCATTTGTCAACTTCCATCACCTCTGGCGTAGACGTGATATCCGGCTGACTGTCGACCAAAGGGCGTGTATGCTAATCAGCCGTTCGCTCTGTCCTCCTTTATGGCCGTGAGTGAGACATGGCTATTGAAAGTGGAAGACATTGAAAGCCTAATCATAGGTGTCTGCGTTCTATCTCGCGCGTTAGATAGTACAATAGGGTGAGTAACACTGAGTTAGGCGTTGGTCGAGTGTTCGGCAAGGAGTGAAAGTCAATCGACGAGGTTGTGAAGTTGCATCGATTGAGATAGTATGGACATGTGTTACGCATTCCTAGCCATCGCCTCCCTTTAATGGGCGATGTTAGTTGGCGAGTTGGCATAGGACCGACCAGGTTGGAAAAGAGCCAGATAGTGGTGGTCAAGCCGAAATTTGGAATCAGTCCATGAAATCTTTGACAGTTGGTTTGAGCCACGTAGGGGATGGGTGTGGCAGTAGATTGTCTGGTTAGGGTCCTTGGAATGATAAGAACCGACGGCTGGAAACAGTTAATGATGTGGCGAAAAATTGCTCACAATGGTGCAGATGCATTCACTATTTGTGATTTCCGATATCCATTAAACCCTAATGTCTACTATTCTTTCTTCCTTTTGGACCTCTTTCTCTTTCCTTTCTTGTTTTAATATGTTTCATAGAGTGTATGAACTTGAACTGCAATTTTATGTGAAGACCTGTGTCGAAACTCAGTCAATCATACGTTAAAGGTAACAGTATGAATGTAATGATACTACATCGGACAAAAGTGTGTCTGAAGATGAATATTTAAATGAAACTAGTGAAGATCTCCGGAGTCTTGAATACGGTGGAACGTAAATGCATCTGCACTATTAAGAATCATTTTAAGGTGTATCACAAAGGGTTTCCAACCATTGGTTCTTTGTGTCCTGATGACACTAGCTGACTATTTCACGCCTTCCTATGCACTTCATCTCAATCACTATTACTTCGCATCCTCATCTTTTGAATTCCATCTCTTACCTAACACTACATTAAACTTTGAACGATAGCGACTACTAACAAAATACTCTGAATTTTTCCATATTTACTTTCAATACTCTTATCTCATAGGCGTTAAGTAGGACAAAACAATATACTCGTCATTTGATAGTCACTTTACTGCCACGCTACTGGCTATCTAGCATATGTACTTATCACGTCTATAATTACTAATAGTTGATGTTGAACAGTTATCGAGCTATAGCAGCTTTATGACGTCTTAATTGTCGTAATTTATTGTTGGCGCTGAAGTGGAGAATAATCGTTTCCTAGTTGGATTGTTTCCTTCGTGGATGAAATTAATTGTCATCATTTCTCCTGCTTTACTTTTTCCCCCTGCATTTTTAGGTTATGATTATCGACCCGCGCACTGATTGTGGCATTGTCCGTGAGCTGGATGCGCATACTGGGGAAATTTCAGATATCACCGTCGATGCACATAGTCATACATTGGTTACTTGTGGTTGGTCACGTGTTGGAGATTCAGGACTACGCGTGGATAGGTTATTAAGGGTAGGCTGAAATAATCTCAGTTTGATTTTGTACTATTTGTTTTATTAGTTTTACAATTAGTATAAAATTTAATTTTACAAGATCTTTTGGTCTCAAGTTGAAATAATCTTTCTATTAGTCAATTTTTTACTTGATGAATTAACGGCATACTGACGAACAAATAACAAATATAATTTTTATATGTGTCCGCTTTCATTCGCTGCCCGGTGTTTAATGGAACTATTCTGTAAAACCTTGGTCAAAGTTCCTTTTTTATTTTTTTTCCTTCACGTTCCCAGTGGAACATAGGGCTTCAAGCTAGAGGCTTGAAATTTCTGCAGCAGTTTTTATTTTTACAAGATGGGGTTGCTAGCCTCATACCCAAACTTCACTCTTTACTAGCTTTATTACAGACTTAGCGAGGTAAAGGAGTACATCGGCCTGGGATCGAACTCCGGACCATGTGCATGGTCGGCGAGCGTCCTAACCGCTGTGGAACCGATGCACAAAGTTCATGTAAAGTAAATATTAATCTTCACACTGTTGTCGTGTTATGTTGTACGAAGGCTAGTTTACAGAAGTCAAGTATGTAATTAACTCTCGTATTAATCGCTTTTGTATGAGTTCATATGCATCTATCACTTACTACTTGTCAAATTAATAATAAAACAATCTTTCTTTGTAATTTCCTAAAGTTAGAATACGTTATCAACACATTTGTGAAGTTTAGGCTTGATAGTATGATGATGGGCTACTTTTCTTTCCTTCATATATAAGCTGATTTGTTTTGTTGCTGTGATTACGTTCGATTTATCTACATTTTAGGCAGTTCCTTGGCGTTGTTTAACTTCTTTCAGTCATGTAGGAAGCTGTTCTTTTCTACCAAAAGTATGGTGACATCCTGTGTTCTGCTTAAGCTCTTCTCATCTAAAACATTTAGAACAAAACATATAGGCTAATAATTAGATCTCAACAGGCTTTACTCTAAATACATAACTTTACAAGTAAGTATTATATATATGCCAATCGTGTTGATTTATCAATAGGAAGATAATATTGTGTATCTAAATTCTACAATCAGTTCTAATAATCTTAGTAATAAAAAAAGATGAGAAAAGGGGCGATCTGTGATAAAAAAAGATGATGAAAAGTAGCATGATTATACAAAAAAATGTTCAAATAGGCGTAGTAGATAAAAGCTAAGAATAACAAATAATTAGACTAAGTACTGCTTGATTACAAGGAAAGTAAATAAATGACGTTTTAATGGAGATGAAATAAGACCGTGAAAGTTGTTAAGATAGAAATTACAAACATATAAGAGGTAATGATGATTTAGTCAGTTGATACGAACCTCTTCTGAATGCTAAATTTAGGCTTAATCGTTGGAATGCTATTCACTTCAATTATATGCAGCAGACGAATGTGGAGACCGTTGAAAGATTTGACAGGATGCGATGAATCATCCTGAGTGCTTTTTTTGTCGACTTGATAGCCACTATCAAATGAGGGCAACAAAACTGAACTTTGGACGCTTTTTATCTTTCCTTTACCACACTATGATTGGAGATGTTCAGTGATACGTTGACTGAGCTGTCCAACTGACTACGCCCAGTATAACTGTCTCAGCGGGAGTATTTAAGCTAATAAGTAAATTAGTTAATAAATACGCATAAATATGGCAAAACTATCGGGCTTATCCTTCTTTTGAGCTATAATCATTTACCGACTAGAAAAAAAAACACCCTATTGCCACGTAAAATGTTTCTATTTGACAATCACGCCATTTGTTGAAACACCTCTGCATGTTTCTGAAACTAACAGTCGTCATATTTCTTGACATTATAACTGCTTCTCATTCGTAGGGTAGCATTGCTCTTCGAAATTGCTTGTGAGCCCTCCCTGAAAAGCATTTCAACATCTCAAAAGACCTGTATTCAAGCGCCTTTGATAGAGTAAAGACATACTAGTAAATATCACAGTTGTTGTGATGTTGACATAACACAGTAATTGCTCTCTCTGTGTCTCTTTGCCACCAACGATCATTGAAAGTGATGGTGGACATCTGCTATTCAACATAGGACTATTCTCATCTGAAATATAGTCGATGTTGTCTTTCTGTGCTATAACACACGAGCTACTGGAGTCGCATTTACCTTTGGTGCTATAGCGCGTCAGTGTAATTGTCACTGTTGTGCTTGAACGGATTTATTTTTTTTGGACTTGAAATTTCTGTTTAGTTATCGATGTATCTCTCTAAGAGTACTTGTATGTGATATCGTTAGAATGTAAATCATATGAGGCCTGATGGCTATCTTTTGGGAAGAGGAAGAATGAGGTCTTCTTAAAACCCCGGCTTCGGTCGCTTGGTCACGCTTGTTGAATACCACCCTAGTGGCTTCCACATACTTTACCGTGCTGACTTTCAGGCTTGCAAAAGAAATCATAAATTCGGTTAGCCCACGATATTTTGCCGTTTGATAAAAACTTACCATCATATAATGACTTTGCAGGTGAGATCTAATATCAAATGCGGATCGGTGGCTCGAGATGTTATCATTTATGGTTGAAGATTTGAATCAGTGGTCATGCTACAGTTTTTGTCTGTCTCTTACTGTTGAAGAGCACAAATGTTTCTGCGAATTCACTGTATAGGGAAGTTGACGTGATCATTTTGCTTTTTTTCTGCTGATCTTAATTGTCTCCCTTCTTTGTGTTGTTCTGTTGTTAATATGTGGGTTTGTAAATGTACAGAAAATGAGAAGGAATTATTTTCAGTATATATATATATATATATATATATATATATATATATATATATATATATGCATACTGCGTCATATGCGTAACAATTAAGTTGAAGAAAGTACTCAGGATAGTCAAATGAAAATAAGTTATGTATATCACATCTTTGAGTTTTTATGAATCAATGCTTCTGGACAAGAAATGAAATCGATTTCAGTAGTGAGTGCAGATGTACTCAGATTTTATCATATTCAAAATTTCAAGTATAGAGCTAATTTCTCTTCACTTAACTATATTACTTCTTAATATTTTTATCGTATCCCAATCTATTGTGTGATTACATGCAAGTGAATACATTACAAAAACCGAGTTTTTCTACATTGTTTAGCTTAGTGCGGTCAATCATCCTACATCTAGGTAAATTCTTATCTTAGATATTGAGTTAGATATTAGCATCTATTGGAAACTGTCACAACCTAATAAGTACTTAGACTCTGATTCATCTGTCTGCACCCTGTAGAGAGGAAATTAGAAAAGTTCGACCCCGAAAATTTTACATCCCGACTTACATTACAGTGGTCCGTAACCGTCGGTAAGTTTACTAATACGGAACAAATCCAGTAAAACAATACTTACAAACTGTGTGTGACCGACATCAAGCAGTTGTCCCGTGGGCTCTGTGGTCGTGCAACGCTAACCCTCTTTCTCTTTCATGTGATCCAAGAAGTAACAACCGGCCATCCATTGATATGAGGACGAAGACTTCCTGAAAATCGTTCTTCTTTACCCACATCACCTTCATCATCTTGCTTCCCTACTACAGTCGCTACTATTGTTCGGGCTAGTGAAGCATTGTCACTTCACTCTGTGCTCACGAACAACTATGAGAGCCAGAGAAACACCCCTAACTGCCTCTTAAAGCCACGTTGACAACATCATATAGGAGCATTCAACGTCAAGCTCCTCTGCCAAATCGGACAATAGGCATCACTAGCTAGAACTCTGACATCTCGAGCCATGGATGTATGTTGTGCTTCGGAGACACATATACATATACACCCACACAAGACCCGAGTGTGGTCATTCACTTAACCCCACTCGGCCAACAAGGTGAATCCGCGAAATTCACTTTGAGGGTGTCGGGAGACCCCTCAGCTAGTTTGCGAGGACTCTAAGGTGTAGGGATAGCATTGAGTGTCAGGGCAGAAAAATCACTTCTTGACTGGGTCCCAGTAGATAGTCGTATGTGTGAGGTCTGTCTGAACGCGTCCGTTAGAAGAAGGAAGGAGGGCCCCACCCGTCGTTGTCTTTTCATAGTCTCCGCTTACGTCCCAACAGACTGCAGTTTGGATGAACTAAAGGATGACTTCTACCAGAAACTGTCTAATCTACTGCAAAAAGCAAAACGTTCAGATATAGTTGTTTTAGCAGGCGACTTCAATGGCCAAGTACGGAGGTTGTGCCAGGCTGAGAAATATGTATGTGGTACCTATGGAGTTCCCTGACGACGAACCGACAACGGTGATCGTCTCTTACAGTTCTGTTGAGATAATCATCTGTTCCTAATCATCACTAACTTTAGACACAAGGAGAGAGAGAGGGAGAGAGGGATTGCGTAACCTGGTGACCTCCATCACCAAATCAACACGACTCAGATAGACCACATAGCGATAGGATATCGTTGGCGAGGGTCAGTGGAAGACTGTCGCTCCTTCTGGAATACATGCGTAGACTCCGGTCACGCCCTAGGTCGTGCACGTTTATGATTATGTCTAAACGGACATAAAATACTGTTGGCAGAGAAGCAGTTACGTCCCCAGCTGGATCGAGACTCTGAGTCCCTATTTAAGGAGGAAATAGCAAAGCGTGTATCTGAGGTCGACAGCAGGACTCCCCCTGAGATAACCTAGCACAACGTACAGTTAGCTGTAGACACAGTTGTAAAAGCTGTTAACAACCTGAAATCTAAAGTTAGTAAGAGCCATTTGATTTCTCCCACCTCATCTGAACTGATTGACGCAAGAAGACTGATTCCAGCGAGCTCCGATTATGATGAGGAGCGAAAGCTTCTCAGACGCAAACTAACAAGAAACCTTCGTAACGACCGTGAACAATGGTGGGCAACAAAAGCGAAAGAGATGGAAAAGGCATCGCCAATAGGTGGCACCAGACAACTACTTAGGCTTATCAGGGAAACAGGGGGCAAAAGACAAATGATAAGCGAGTCAATTTCGAGAAGAGTGGCACCATAATTAGTTCTGAGAACAGACGACTGGGACGTTGGAAAGAACACTTTGAGGAGCAATCTAATTGGCCTACAGTCACGCCCAACTTACCCTCCATCCAACACCTCCCTGAATGGGATGTAGACACAGGTCCTCTGTCCCTAACTGAGGTTACAAAAGCTGTCACTAGTCTGAAACGAGGCAGAGCCACGGGACCTGACGAAATGACTTCGGAGGTGATTAAGTACGGTGGAGACAGTTTACTGTCTGCGCCAACTAAGGTCCTGGGCAGCATCAGACGAAGTTCCATCAGGTTGGTGTAAGTCATTGATTATCCCGATATGCAAGAGGGGAGACAAGTCTTGGTGTGATAACTACAGGGGGATTGGCTTGACTAATATGGTATCTGAAGTTCTAGGCTCAATAATGATGCGTAGACTCAATGGTACTCGTGAGGAACAAAATGAATTAGCCGAAAAGAGACTTCGCTGAACTACTGGCCTTTTCTCTATAAATGCAGGGTCATAATAATAATAATAATAATAATAATGGTGAAGCTTTATTTAAGACAGTATGCGAATATGCGGTACAAAAATTTTCAGCGTATTCAGTTCCAAAGTACTTTTTTCCTCACACAGGATTCACCTATAAGGTAATAATCTGAAGTATATCTTCATTTCGTTGAAGAATTGTACAGCGTTTACTTGGGAGCAAGTTAAATCGTCGCGCAAGTTTATGTGTGGGTCATTTCATATAACTGGACGATTAAAACTATGATAAATCCAGATGAAATTAAGCATTTTGGAGGAAAGTAATTTCGGTAGCCCAGTGATTTAAGCAGGTCGCCATGTCATCTGAACACTTTGAGCAGCAATCTTCGAATGTTCGGCATGCGATTCTCTCTTGCTGTCAGATGTAAGATGGTGCCACAGGACTGGACTACATCGACTACTCATAGCTTAGAGATAGAGAGTGCTGTGCTAGAGCATGCTAACCAGCTAGTTAAGTAACTAACATATCTTGTCGAATATTTCCGAATGGACTTTGTTTTGTGGATATTTTTCATTGATCAATACTTTTTGCAAGTAGGTAGTATGTTCGTGTTTTTTGTTCTAATAGTTTTTATCATCTCTATGAATATTTTGTGTACACGCAGGTATATGATCTTCGATCAGGTCGTGCTCAAGTTCCACTATCCGCATCAATTGATCCATGTTTCGTTCGATTTATTCCTGGTTGTAGTGACAATCTACTGGCTACTTCTCAGACTGGTGCTTTTCAAACCATTCAGTGGGGGAAAATGGTATTTTCCCCGGAAGATTTAGGTCAAGTGTGGTTAAGCTATGACCGATTAGTGGCTACAGATATTTCACAAAAGTAAATTATCTTATAAATATGTCCAAACCATTTTTACTGTGATAAAACCAATTATTTTGTTATTTGGCGAGTCGTCAAGCCAAGACCTCAGCGAAGCTTTTTTACGGAAAAAGTGTGTACTGCAGATACAGTTTTGGGAGAGCTAACAAATAGTTAACAAAACATTTTGAACTCGATCACTCTCCCTCCAAATCTGCTACCACTTGCCGACCAAGTGAAGTTCATTAACTGTATCTTGGGTTGAAAATTAGTGCAATAAGTGATGAGGTATCACGGTGAATAAACTATTTTGGCATGTTGGGAGGATGATGTAAGGTAGTCTGTGATTAAGCTCAGCTGCTTTATTTCTGAATGATGCTTACTCATGCATGCTTTAACTTCTGTGCATTTTCAAGACTACAGAACATTTTAGAGAATGTTGGTATACCTGGATTTTTCACTAAGGATTTGTCGTTAAGATTCACTGCTAAACCAGTGTACTTAGCTTATGACAAAACTCCGCTGTTTATTCATCAGGCATCACTGTGAACCAAACAAATACCAATCCTACAAATGAACTCATTTTTATCTAATTATATATGTTGGAATTGATAGTTTCAGAATAGTCTTCCTGCAGAGTATTCATACTCTTCGATTGGTAGTAATCAACAATCACGAAACTTCAATTAACGCATGCCTTCTGTACCCACCTGATCCCGTGCTTAATCGGTTACTTATGATGACTCTATCATACACTATTAATTTGTGTTCTACTGAGCACTTCCGTATAGTAGTGAAATCAGTTGATCCAGCATCTATTTATGACACTTGCCTTTATTAAACAGAGTGATAAATAAGACTGGACATAAACTTGATTCGCAGCAGAAATTAGCTATCTGTTAGCTTTTATCTATCTTCATTCTATTGTTTCCTTCAGTGTAAACTGAAGTAGTTTCATAACCTTTTGTATCCTTTGCTTCTTTTCTCCCTTAATTTTCTTAATTTCCAGTGGTAATTGCGTTGTTTTTGCTACTGAAACCGGTCAACTTCAATTATATATTCATGATATGAATATATGCCATTTCAACAGTTCACCGTTGCCGACGGAATTCGCATCACCACTCGCTGAAAGTCTATGGCCAACAAATACATTAGAGACTGCTATTCCTCTGAATTATTCATTAATGATGTTTGATGATCCTAGCAGTAGTCTTTATGGAACTAATTTGGCTTTATTAGGTAAAACAGCAGCAAATGCTGTTGGATTACAAATGTTCGCTGCCTCTTTGCACCAACCGACTGAAATGATTTCAAATCCTGAATATGTGGATCTTGTAGAACGTCGGAAGACCGAGGTGGCTAGAGAAGCTGTTCTCGCTGCATACAAACCGGTTGAGTATGATGACTACCGATTTTCATTCGCCAGCATTCCTTTTGCAGCTTACCCACCACCTACCTTCGATTCAACCAATCCAATTGAAGAAGAATCTAGTTCAATATGGATGCCAAAATCAGATACAATTTGTACATCAGATTGGCCACAAGATCTAAATCAATCTAAATTCAAGTAATTCTACGGATTTCGGATGTTTCTTTTTCATTTTTTGTGTTTCTAAATTGAATCCAAGTATGTATATGTGATATTTAATTGAGTATATAGAAGATAAATCATTCAGATAGATGATCACCTCATTCAATGCGGCTTTTAGCGTCAGTATTTAACTAATGTAATTTTTTTCCCCTGATTGATGATATAGTCCTCTTAGGTGAAGACGCTCACAAGGTTCTGAATTTTAATACCTTGGGTAGAATTCTGCAATTCTACTTTCTTGAATTGTAAGACCATACTATGAATGGTGTACATTAATTCTTAGTTCAAGGATTGCAAGTAAAATTGGTTGAAAGAGTGTAAAAATTCACTGATTTTGTAAGTTGCACGCATCATAATATACTGGTGGTTGACCAAATCTCAGCACCGTTCAAAACTTGTTATTTAAGGTGCAGGTGTACTCTTAAGAGAAAGGACTGTACGACACAGCAGTTTACTGTTTTCTCTTTTTTTGACTATGAAACTTGATCACTGTATAAAGAATGTTCGAAGACGGTACAGATTCCTGGTATCTTGTGCATTGTAAAGCTATAGTGGGTGATAGGCCTAAACTCCGCTCCCACATGTTGAGGTTTAGAAAGTCAGTCAGAGTCATCAGCCTCCACAAAATGATTTTGTTTCATTGCCAGATTTACTAATGTGTAATTTTTTAGTGGCATTCTTTTGTCGTTGTGTTTATTACCTCTCGTTTTTTCTAATCTCCATAGAGTAATGGAAGAAGTCGACCCAGACCTACTTAACAATGCTAACACAAAAAGAGCTGTCAGAAAACCATCTCATTGGGGTTCTGTATGGCATCCATATTCGATAGATGCAGTTATTGAAGAGATAGATGGAGTAAATCATCGAATGGGTGGCATCAATTCTAGTCCGTTACAGTTTGGTCGATTCGAATCTGCGGTAGAGAAATTAACAACAGCCACCGCTGACATCGATACAGCTACTACCGAGACTACAAAATCATCTGCGTCAAAATAATTTTTATTTTATAGTCAGTTGCATTTACTTTTAAAATTGTTTTCTAGCTTTCTTTCTTCTTACTCTAATTTTAAAAAGTATGTGTGATCAAATTTTACATTATGAAAAAAGAGATGCATATTTGTAGTAATATTTTTTATTTTATCTTTCAATGATGCACTTACTTTTACCTTCAACCTTCAAAAATGTTAGGGGAGAATATTTTCGCATGTGTACACTGTCTATGGTTTTTTTAGTTCGTAGTCTTTAGTCGTCTTTATTGAAAACTATTTGTTTTACAATACTTAGTTTTTTTTATATTTTTGTCTCGAAATCCTTCTTCATTTTTTTCGGGGGGGGGGGAGGGATAAAATAACTATAACTTGTACATTCACTTCTATGTGTATATTTGATTTGAAACCTAAATTATCCAGTTTTTATTGTTGTTTTTATAGACAGGAAGAAAGGATACCTACAAGCAATAGTTTTTAATCTTGTGTGTTGTGTGAGGAATCATTGAGTCATTTGGTTTGATTATAATTAGAGACAAATCGGCAAAGGGTGTATGGTTTTAAATATGACTGTTTGTTGTGAAATTTCTTTCACTTAAAATAGGGAAAACCACTCATGCATCAAAGAGACTAAGCATACACAGTTTTAGTTAATTCACCTGGTGGAATTGTGAATATTCATTGTTTCAGATGATTGAATAAAGCGTTACGGATACGCCTACCCAATGTCTTCTTCGATTTGTTATCTTTATTTTTACTACTTAATGCTTGTGGTGCTGCGAATCAGCTCACTACGAATCAATTTAAGGTTGTATGTCAGTAGTGTCTATCTCTCTTAGATGAGCCTAATGACACAATGTAACAACTTTACAACTCTGCTGGTTCCTTACAGCTTGTTGAGTGGCTAATGTTTCAAAAGATGAACTGCAGCCTGTGCGACTCTGAAAGTATTCTGATTTCATATGGTACATTTTTTCAATTCATTGCTTAGGCATATAAAAGAACTGATTAACTTTTAAGGCAGTTTTGGTGCATATCACTGCTTTTTCGTATTTTCAGTACCTCAGCCGGAATATCAACATCTTCCTATATGCATCAAACAAACAGAAAATTAGGGGACTGGCATAATGTTTTTACAGGACAAAATCTAGTCCTATCCCAGCTAAAATTTTATACAACCGGTCCCCTGTGTTAGTTTGAATAAAGAAAGAACATATTTGCAGGATAATGCGAGCTCGTTTTGTTCCGTGGGTTCTCTGCAGCTGTTCTTGGCCAGTACTTGGAATGTCACAGCTTTTGCCCGATCGGCTACAAACGAAGTTTGGTAAAAGCTGGTTAGCAGAGATAGAATGTTGTTTTGAGATCGAAGAAAACCTTATCGATAATGAATACCCTCGTTAACTAATATCAAAATATGGGAAGGAAAAACCACCCAGACAGAACCCGAAAATAGTTAAAAACAAAGCAGTTTTATCTGTCTACCGTACAAATGTGAAGAAGTATCCACAAGAACGGAAAACAGAATTAAAGGTACATTAAAGAAAAGTATTTGCAGCCGCAAGACTCATTCCACTTTACAACATAGTTTGATCGTTTACCCAGTCAAAAGTAAATGAGTATTCTGTTCATACCAACTCTAACAGCATTTACCAATTCGCCTGCACTTGCGGCAGTAATTTAATGGGAAGGACTGAAAGGAAAGCGTCTACTAGATTCCCCCAAACATACCCCTAAGTGTCTCCGTCTGATGGGTGATACAATCGACAGACACCTAATTGACTGACACGCGACATACGGTGGAAATTAGACTTTCAAAATAATCAATACACAAAGAAAAGCATGGTTACTTCGGTTCGCAGAAGCCATGGCCATGAAAAACCTTAAACATCCTATGCATACAGAAAGAGAGTGTGACTAATCTCTCACTACCCCGATAACCGTAATTGTTTTCTTGGTGTGCTCTCGTGTTTAGTTCTGTAGCGTAACATTCCACTCAATTTTGGTTTTTCGATTTTCCCTCACTGAGCTGAACTCACTATTAACTTTCCATATATTCTAAATTCAAGCTGGAATTCATGGGCCATTGGATCGGGTTCCAGTGGCTTAATGGTCTATGAGCTCTCCTTGTGACCAGAAGGTCCTGAGGTCAGACCCGGTGGCGCGCAGAGTCCCAAACTAGAACGAAGCAGCTGTTCAGTGCTCCCAAGTTTTCCAGTGGTTCTCTAACCGACATCAGCTCATGATGAAGTCCGTACAAACCAATACTTGAATATTTCTTCAGTCTTATAATTGTACTTCACTATTCACTTGCACCCTCTTCAACTCTTCACCATAATATGTGTAAATTCACTCTGTTGTTCCATCTTATATTTTGTCTCTAACGGATGCTTGTTGCTGAGCGAAATGTAAACTCTAGCCCTTTGTCTAATTGCTATACAAATACTTAATCTTTTGACACTAAATAACTGTCCACTTTATTTTTGAAATTATATTACCTATACTTTCTCTCTATAACTTGAAGTCATTGTGAAAAGTAGGTTCAGAAATTTCATATGTAACGACAAAAGGCAAGAGTCAGGCAACAGATCGTTTATTAAGGAAATCAACACGTATTTATATATATTTCATGTACATTATTATAGCTTATTCAAGCAGACAAACACAGTCTTCTGATTGGTTGTTGAATCAGTCTTGTTCATATTTCCTCACCACCAATATTTGCGACATACCCATTGACGTAAAATGCTGTCTACTATTTTCGGCTAGCCTGCCCTCACCACACTCGTCCCCCCGTCAAATAGCTTCGTGCGCAGGCGTTCCGACCTTCTGGGTGATACATCCTCTAGTTGAGGATTGTTATTGACCGGCTTGTCCCACTGTACCCATTGTTGGAGCTGACTGGCGTTAACTCGTTTTTGTTTGTCACCTCTTCGTATGGTATATAATTGACCCCGTCTTTTTGTGATTGTGTATGTTCCTTCCCACTTTGGAAGGAGTTTCCGTGAACCTGGCCCGCATCCAACTGTATATCTTCTGTCTCCACACTTCATTTGGTTCCCAACAACAAAGGTAATGCACTGAGTCTTTCCTTTCAGCTGAGACCTCGAGACATCACTCCTCCGCTTCTCCATTACATTCTTGACTGCTTCTTTCCGCTCTGCTTTTAATTTCGTCGTACTCCACTTTTGGTGAAGGGGTCAGGTCTCGTTGTGTATCGGTAACCATGGTTTTCTACCATACATCGGTTGAAGGGTGACTTCTTCGTTGTTTCCTGAATGGTAGCACGATGCGTTAGTAAAATCAGTGGAAGCTCCGTTTCCCAGTTACCGCCCTTCGAGGCCAGCCACTCCTTCAGTGTACGGTTGTTTCTCTCCGTTAGGCCATTCGTTTGTGGATAATATGGGGTCGTTCTGATCCTTTTTACGCCCAGCTGTTGCAAACGGGAAGTAAATTCTTCACTTTCGAAACAGGGACGTTGGTCTGTCAGTATTGTTTTTGGTACACCGTGGTCTGCAACGTGTTGTCTAACTACTGCATCTGTCACGGTCCTTGCACGTTGGTCTGGGATTGCTACGGCGTCCACCCATCGTGTCGTGCGTCCCGTCATCACCAAGATGTACTGATTACAATTGGATGTCTGAGGAAATGGGACCATGAAATCTACGGACCACAAGTCACCTATCGCCGTAACTGGAATCGACTGAAGCGGTGGCCGTATGCACCGGTCGCCTTTCATTAGCTGGCACCGTGGACACCCAAGTACGTATCTCGCTACGTCTTCTCTCTTACCTGGCCAGTACATTCTTTGTCTTAGGTCAGTTGTTCTGGCCACGCCTGTATGTGCTAGCTGGTGACATCCTTCTATCATGTCATCGCGTGACGATTGAGGTGTGACAGCCAGCCAGCTTCCGTCGTTCTCTCGCCAGGTCAGAGTCCCGTAGGCATTCAGTCTTAGTCGATCTCTCTGTTTGAGCAGTGTGGTTAGCTCCTTACTCGTTGGTGATCACCTGTATTGCTGTATTCAGCGCATCGTCCAACCTTTGCTTGCGTGCAAGTCTTAGTGGGTCTTGTTCTACTGCATGCACTCCGTAAGCGACCTCGGGCAACTCAGACTCATCTTCTGGTCTCGTTAACAAATCTGCGAAGACATTTTCAATTCCAGGAACGTGTGAGATCGTAAAATCGTACTCCTGAAGACGCAACATCCACCGTGACAATTTCCCCCGTGGGTCTCTCGCTGTCTTCAAAAATTGTAGCGGCTTATGATCGGTTTCGATGTGGAACCGACGGCCGAGTAAATAAGGTCTCCATTTGTCGATTGCTCATACCATTGCTAAACATTCTTTCTCTATCGTTGAATACTTTCGCTGTGTGTCAAACCCCTGCTGACATACTTAACGATTCCCTCACCCTGTCTAAGGGCCGCAACTATGGCTTAGTCACTGGCATCTGTGCACACTGTGAACCGTCTTCCAGGTACAGGTAGTTTCAGTGTCATGTGTTAGAGGTCGAGCAGCTGTTTAATTATCTCGAACGTCCTCTGCCATTCCTCCGACCAAACAAACTTCAGCTCACCTAGTAGCCTGTACAGAGGGGCTGCTATCTCATTGAAGATCTTGACGAACCGACGATAAAACGTTGCTCTACCCAAGAATTGTCTCAATTTTCTCTTTGAATTCGGAGCCGGGACCGTCTTTATCGTCAACATTTTCTCCGGTAGTGGTTTAATCTCACCATTTCCCACTTTGTGTCTCAAAAGAGTAACATTCTTTTTGGCTATCTGGGACTTGATTTTGTTGACGCGCGGTCCAAACTCTTCAATGCGTCGCAGTACGGCTTCTACATGGTTCACACGATCGTTTTCGTTTTGACTGTATATGACGAGATCATCACCATACACCTCCACGTTTTTCAATTTCCTAAGTAATAGCGTCATCAGTCGTCTGAACGTAAGCGGTGCACCTGCTGGTCCGAACGGTGTGCGTTTAAATCGATATTGTGTCTGCCCCA